AAAAGCCGGGAGTTGAGGGCAGAAAGGAGAGAACTGGAAACAGCAAGGGAGGGGAGGAGGCTGAGGAGGGTGAGGAGGGAGGGAGGGAGGGAGGGGTGGTTTATGGGTTGTTAGTCACAGCTCTTTACGGCACATCGGGGCAAACGGTTCCTTACATCACTGTGACACACGCAAACACAGAGCAACTGACACACATGAAGTTATGCTGACACACTTTTGCCTCAGAGGATGTGGAAAACCAAGCATCCCTCTGAGGAGGAGAGAGAGAGAGGGAGAGAGAGAGGGAGAGAGAGGGGTGAGGAATCGAACCACGGGAGAGGAGTCGATCAGAGTTTGGAGTTAGAGGGAGATGGTTTTGAATGACTATAGGGGGAATGCAGTCACGTAGGCACACACACACACACACACACACACACTGGAGTGCAGATACACATTCTTGAGTGTGCTGAGTGTGTGCCAGGTGGTTGTCTCGAGTTGAGGAAATCAGAGCTGACAGCTTGGATAAAGAGCAGGGAGCAGAGAGTGGCCAGAATGAGAGAGAGAGAGAGAGAGGCAGAGGCAGAGAGAGAGAGAGAGAGAGAGAGAGAGAGAGTGCATTTGTGTTTGTCTTTCATCTGAATTGAAAAAAAAAAAGGTTCCAGTTCCAGTGTGTTGTTTGCACATCCACATGTGCATATTTTAAAATTTGGCAAGTAAAGAGTCTCGTCAGGGTGGTGTGTCACTCTGATGAGTGTGTGTTGCTTTTGAAAGTGTATGTGCATGACGAGCATCTCATCATTTCTCCCTCTCTCTCTCTCTCTCCCTCTCTCTCTCTCTCTCGTAGGCGATCCAGGCAGCCAGACAGTTCCTCCTACAGCAGGCCTCTGGACTCAACTCCCCTGGCAACACCGAGGTCAAGCAGAGCCCTGTGCAGGTCAGAGCGCAGACTTACAAGAACACACACACACACACACACACATCCTCAGTGTTGCTTTGTCAGAGTCTGTATATTATTAACCCCTCGACTGCCAACTTGCCACGTCAACTACAAAGTGCGATCTATACCACGCCATCTGTCTGTATACAGTATCTTTTTACGTTGTGTGACAGTGTGTTTTGTTGTGAACGTGTGTGTGTGTGTGTGTGTGCGTGAGTGTCTGTGCCAAAGGGGGCTTTGTAGTGATTGGGCAGTGAGATGTTTTCAGCGTTGAATTCCACAGCAAGCAGAGAGACTGGGGTTAGCTGGAGTGCAGCATCCAGACTGGATGACACTTGAGGACACACACACACACACCCACACACACACACACATATATACCATATAACTATGAGTGAATGTAGATAAATATCACATGTGACATTACCTCTGGCAGCTCTTTACGGTCATGTGACGTGAAGAGTAGATGCACAAGTGAGATTTGCGGCCGTGTGTCATGTGACGAAAACTGGGGCCGAGGGTCTGGTAGAGCAGCACGCCGTCTGGCCGCTGCGCTGCTCTTCTCATTAACATGCCACATGATAAACAGCTGGACCGTTGCGGCATGGGAAAATAAAGAAAAATATGGAAAACAGAGAAAGATGGATGAGTCCAAAGCAAAAAGGTCAGATTTCCTTTTTTTTTTTTGAAGCCACTGAGAGTTTCTCATAGTAAAAACGCAAGACTTTACAAATGTTAAGCAAAAAAAAAACGGCTGAGAAGTTTAACAATAGCTGCAGAAGTCAAATTTGCTGAGGGCTGAAAATGTCAAAACTAGTTTAAAGTAAATAAAATAAAAACGTGTTATGCAACTCAAATTTTAATCCAAACAAGAACTGGAGTGGGATTTATTTTTCCTTTACTTTGGTACGAACCCAGTGAAATTGCATAAACAAACACAAAACCGGCGGAGAGAAACACTTTGTGTTCAAAGTTTAACGTCTCCGCTCTGACGAGAGTGGATTGAAGTTCTGTGATCGGCTGCTCCTGACTGCTTTAGATGAAGTTACAGTAACTGGCTGAGATAATAATAAGATGTTATTAATCTTAAACTTTATCACATTTATTGATTTACTGAAAAACTCATCTTAAACTTTATCACATTTATTGATTTTTTTGAGGAGATGTTTGTGTTACTGAACTGGAAAGATACTTGGAGAAAGACTCATTCACACACACCATCTACCATTTCTGTTCTCTGTATCTGTCTTGTCAGTGGTGTTTGTTGTTGCTTGGCCTAGTGCACGCACACACACACACACACACACACACACACACTCCGTGTCCTCCTTTCTCTCCTCCATCTCTGTCTTATTTGTCTAGTTTGTTGTCTTGTGCCCTGACGGTGGTCTGCAGGGCATCTGTGCTACATCTCTGTTGTCTGGGCTGTCAGCTAATACAGCCTGCACACCTTACACACACACACACACACACACACACACAAACGTGCCCAAAGCACTGGCCCCCTGTTATTTAGTGAATCAGTTCACTTCTCTTCAGTCCGAGTCGTTTCGACTGAGTCCTAACGTGTTTGTCCTCAGAGTGAGTGCAGCATCTCTGCACTTCCTGCAATTTGGCCAATGAACCCAGCTGCTCAGGTGCCACATAGAAGTATAATTTTCCAGCATCGTGGCTTCATTTCTAAATTGCAGAAATTGCCCTCGGTTACTGCAATTGAAGCAATCATCTGTCAGCCACATAAGAGGCTGAGCGAAGCCAGACATTTAATTTGGTCATTTTCCAAAGGTGGCGGTGAGCTACTGTACGGTGACACAGCTGCTCACATCGTGCACAAAATGGCCGTCCTCAGGTTGGCTCCTGCTGGGCTGCTCTCACACATGCAAATGAACCTCAGCCAATAATGAGATCTTTAGGAGCTTGATAATTAGATTTTTCCCTTTTCTCCGAGGGGGAACGTCAGAGGCAGACAGAGAGCGCCGAGGAGACTTCTTTACATTTCCTGACTTCTCTTGAGAAGCACGGTCTGAACTTACACCTCCACCCCCAACTTTCATAGCGACCTGTCTCCTCACCCCGCACGCCTCCCGTCACCTCCCGCCGCCTCCCTTCATATTCCCCATCTTTCCTTTATTATACTTGGACGGAGGGGAATCTGGTAGAAGACAAAAGGCAACTCGTGCGTTGCATTGATGAGAAACCGCCTGCTAGTATACTCATAAGATTGTATCTACATTTTAGGTAAATATGCAGTGACAAAAACCTCCCTGCAGGGGCTGCAATAATCCCGAATGTAATTTTTTGGTCCATTAACAGTATTGACAAAAATATGATCGTGTCACTAACAAATGCACCTGGGGACAGACACATTTAAGATAATCAATTAAGCCTAATCAATCAATCAATTCAGCACACTGGTGCAGAGCACCCGCTGTTCTATTGTGCTGTACATGGTCTCACAAATAATTAATTGTGCTAGATTGCAATAAATATCTTTGTACATTTTTAGTTTTAGTTCATTTTAATGCATGGCTAAGCTAATTTAAACCTGCTAATGCTCCTACCTGACACTGTTTGTGCAAGGTATGCTTAGAGATAGAAATTCTGCCACCTACTGGGTGCATTGGTAAACCTCAAATCGTTCTCCCATATGCAAAAAAAAAAAAAAAAAAATCAATTTCCTGTCAGAATTCTTCATGTATTGAAAAAAAAACAACTTAAAAGTAAGTTTAATTGTATCACAGGTATCAGACAGGTAATTAGCCGCGGTGCTTCTAATTGGCTGTGGCATAAATTCAGCTGACAGAATTTGTTGGCACACAAAGTGGCAATTGGCGGATTAGCCAGCATGATATGTTGCACGCCTCCATGACCTGGTGCATGTCCTCTACAATGGACACACTCACCAAACACAGGCAGCCACACACACACACACACGTGCCCACACGTCCACTTGGCAGACGCCCGCCTGGCACGCTTAACACAGCTCCACTTGGCATCCATACATACAGATTACTGCACGTGCTTGGCTGCGGCCCATACATATGTAATTGAATACCGTGGTGTCCTGTTTTCATGTATTATTGAGTAGCTCATTTAATTAGGAAAAAATGAAAAGACTCATTAGAGATATGTTAATTAGCTCTGCTGCCTGCTCTCTGGAGAGCGCTGGCACTGGCACAGTTGGACGGAGAAAGACAGGGAGTCCAATAGGAGGAGACAAGAGGAACCTGAGTCATGTCACTCTCAAAGCGTTTTCCTCTTCAATAAAACTGCGTTTAATCAGTGTTGCAAATGCACTACACATGTTTTCTGCATTAAGTTTAATGCCGGGCTGTTTTTTTTCCCCGACGATTTATTTGAACCACCATAGATTTGAGGGGGATTTTTTTTTCACTGAAGAAATTCAGAGTTGAGCTTCAGAGTCTTTTAACTAATCAACAAAATAATGTGGAGAGATGAGTGCCCCCCGCCTCCCCTCCACCCTCTGGAGCCCCCGCAGCATTGCAGCAGCTCCTTCTCCCACTGTATTTTATTTCTTTTCAAAGTGTTTTTCCCAAAGCACTTCTTTTGTCCACTCAATGAAAGTGCTTAGTTGGCAGTTTCTCTTATTTGATGCGGAGGGAATCGGGGGCCTGTGTGCACACACGTGTGTATTTTAGTGTGTGTGTGTGTGTTCTGAGGTCCTGACAGTGTGTGAAGGGTGTATAGGCGGAGGTTGAGAAGCCAGTGGAATGGGTTCGGGCTCTGGGCTCGGAGTGGTGGACAGACAGAGAGGTTGGATGGATGGATGGATGGATGGATGGATGGAGAGGAGAGGTTCAGCTCTGACCACTGGAGTGTGAAACTCTTATTTTGTGATTTGAAACATGAGTGAGATCAGTGATGAAATTTGGTCGATAACGGCCTCTCACACCTCCCAGTGAAGAGTGTGTGTTTGTGTGTTACTGGAAATGTGTTGTCATTTTTATTCTGAAGCACTGGGGCATTTGATGAAGTGAGGCAGAGGGGTGGAGGGGGGGGGGGGGGGAAAAAGAAAGGGTTGAGTGGAGTGAAATAGGGGAAAATGGGGGGAGAAAAAGGACAAGGGTTTTTTCCCAATCCAACTTTCTGGATCTTTACTGTCTCCTCTGAAGTTTTTTTTTTTCACAGCCATATTTTATGCACATGCACTTGAAAACGTGGAATGTAGAGACAACAGAGTTGGCTCCATGTTATTTAGTGTGTGTGTCTTGTGATGAAAACGTTGAACTAAGAATCGTACGTTGCCTAAAGAATAACAAGAAATACTGGGTATTATAGGGTGAATGAGTGAATTAGAAACTGTCACTTAAAAACTACATAAAGAAATCTTTATTTTACCTTCAGTCTTATATATAAATATTTTCCCCAAAAAATAATCAAGTACAATATGCCAAGAAATGATGGGTGGAGGGGGGGGTTACTCACTCAGCTATTGTCCCATCTTTTCTTTGAAGTGTGTTGTGTGTGTTGCATATATGAAATTCTTAACTGGTTAATGTTTCCCCCCAGAGTTATGTGGCCCCTGTCTCTCCTGAAGATTACTTAGAAAAGGGGTACTCACTGCACACAATGGGGGTCTTTTATTGTGGTCCCGGCCGTGAGCTCCAAACAACGCTCTCAGCACAGTGGGCACTCCCTCTGCTCCTCTTCTTCACTCAAACGCTTTTCTACTACATTCTTACCCCCCCACCCCTCGGCCCTCCACCCCTCTCCTTGTCCTCATGCTCTCCTCTTCTTCCTTGGGCTGACGAGGGCTTGTTTACCTGGGGGAACCAGAGAAAGGGGGCAACAGCGATGATAGCTGGTGAATAAAAGAACTGACACGGAGGAGAATTCAACACTCACACACTCTGTGCTAACGCCTCAGCAGGATGACAGATCACACCAGAGCGGACTGGAACTAAACACAAGGGCATGCTAACAGCTAACGCGGGATCAGAAAGTAATTTAGTAATTTACAACATAAACTCCTTCGG